AAAAAAAAAAAAAAAAAAAAAAAAAAACACTACAGTAGTGCTTTCCTCACATTAGCATTTGCTAGGTCCACTTTACCCCAAAACTAGGTTTCATAGAGGCAGAAAGCCCTGCCCATTCCTTCCTATGACGTTCACAGCGCTTTTCGAACCGCCCAGAAGAATGCGCTACCTTCCTCACTTCAACCCGGCTGTGGGCAGAAGCCCGTAGCATTCCCAATTTCCAGGCCCCTCCTAATCGCCCCACCATTGCCAGGTGTCCCCAACACTCAAAATATCTCCAATGACATCCCCCAAACTCTCCCCGTCTTCACCTGACACCCCCTTGTGCCCTCCTTTCCTCAACTGTCCTGGGGTCGCCACAAGGCCTAGACACATGGTGCCGTCGCCATCTCTAAGGACAACAAAGACCTCGAGGCGAGGCCCATTCCCTTCCGAGGCTACAGACCCCACCACCCAACCTGCCTGAAGCCCACTGGCTACTCCTCACACTCACTCACACTTAAACTCCCAGAGGGAGTAATTTGCGGACCTACCAGGAGATCTCAGTTGAGGAACTATACCAACGCAGCTCCCGCTCAGCTCCCGCTCAGCTCAACCGTTGGGCGTTCACCACGAGGTGCGCACTGGCCGATGGGAAGGTGCTCAACGAGCATGCGCAATGCTGTTGGCACATGCGCACTGGTTACAGCTCTGCCCCTCCCCCACCATCTCACCCTATCCCCTCTGTTCAGACGCAGGCAGTTCTCAAACTATGGCCCCACGGCCACATGCAGCCGGCCAAGGACATTTATTCAGCACGCCGAGTGTTTTTGCCGCCGCTGCCTGTCCTGCTTAGCAGCTGACTGGTCCCAGGGCCTGCAGTCAAGCCCTCCAAAGGTCTGAGGGACAGTAAACTGGCCCCCTGTTTAAAAAGTTTGAGGACCCCTGCTCCAGGGTCTTTCTTCTGTGGTTTCACGTCTTCAGGACCCAAATACCTATAGTAGTGTCCCCCTGCCTCAGAACTAACCTCATCAGCTGGGCATGGTGGCTCGTGCCTGTAATCCTAGCGCTCTGGGAGGCCGAGGCAGGTGGATTTATTGAGTTCACAAGTTGATGACCAACCTGACCAAAAAAGTGAGACCCCTGTTTCTACTAAAAATAGAAAAACTGAGGCAAGAGGATCGCTTGAGACCGAGTTGGAGGTTCCTGTGAGTTATAACGGCACAACACTCTATCCAGGGCAAAAAAAAAAAAAAAAAAAAAAAAAAAAAAAAAAAAAAACCCCTCACCTTGTCTTCAACTGACCCCCACTCCGTCCCATCCATGGCCCACTTCCTCCCTTGCCCTGGTCCCATCGCAAGGACAAGGGCATGGTGGCTGCCCATAAACAGAGGTAGACTGCCTGCTAAAATAGCAATACCAACATATTCCATAGGTTTTACATAAGACCAAGACTCTCATAACCTAATATTCAAATGTCCAGCGTACAAATTCAGAATTACTCAAAATACGAAGACTCAGAAAAATAGGAAAACTCAAATGGGAAAAGGTGATCAACAGACACTAACATAAAGATGGATGTTGGGGGTGGGGGAGTGGCACCTGTGGCTCAGTGGGTAGAGCGCTGGCCCCATATACCGACTGTGGCAGGTTCAAACCCAGCCCTGGCCAAACTGCGACCAAAAAATAGCCAGGTGTTGTGGTGGGTGCCTGTAGCCCCAGCTACTTGGGAGGCGGAGGCAGGAGAATCGCTTGAGCCCCGGGGTTGGAGGTTGCTGTGAGCTGTGATGCCACAGCACAGGGGGACAGCTTGAGGCTCTGTCTCAGAAAAGAAAAAAGCAATCATGAGGCTCGGCGCCTGTAGCTCGCTGAGTAGGGCACCAATCACGTACACCAAAGTATACCAAAGCTAGAGGGTTCTAGCCCAGCCCGGGCCAGCTAAACAGCAATGATAACTGCAACAAAAAAATAGCCAGGGGGTGGTGCCTGTGACTCAAAGGAGTAGGGCGCTGGCCCCATATGCCCGAGGTGGTAAGTTTAAACCCAGACAAGGCCAAAAAACTGCAAAAAAAACCAAATAGCCAGGCATTGTGGTGGGCTCCTGTAGTCCTAGCTACTCAGGAGGCTGAGGCAAGAGAATTGCTTAAGCCCAAGTGTTTGAGGTTGCTGTGAGCTGTGATGCCACAGCTCGCTACCCAGGGTGATAGCTTGAGGCTTTGTCTCAAACAAACAAACAAACAAAAAAAAGAACACTTTTGAAACTAGCATACGAATAAAAAGTCTTAAACCCCCCCCCAAAAAAAAGAGTATTTAAGGAAAAACATAGAAATTTTAGAAATTAAAAATATACTCAAGTAAAAATCTCACTGAATGAGTGCAATAGCAGATTGGAGACAAGACAAGTGAGTAAACTTGGAAACAGAGCAACAGAAATTATTCAATCTGAACAACTCAAGAGAAAGATTGAAAGAAAAAATTAATAGAACCTCAAGGACTTGTGAGAAAGAGAGATGAATAGAATCTTCTCTAAAGACGGTAGAAGATTTTTTTCATACTAAGCATGTGAAAAAATGCTCATCATCCCTAATTATTAGAGAAATGCAAATTAAAACCACCCTGAGATATCATCTAACCCCAGCAAGAATGGCCTATATCACAAAATCTGAAAACTGCAGATGCTGGCGTGGATGTGGAGAGAAAGGAACACTTTTGCACTGCTGGTGGGACTGCAAACTAATACAACCTTTTTGGAAGGAAGTATGGAGAAACCTTAAAGAACTCAACCTAGACCTCCCATTTGTCCTGCAATCCCATTACTGGGCATCTATCCAGAAGGCCAAAAAACCTTTTATTATAAAGACACTTGGACTAGGCTGTTTATTGCAGCCCAATTTACAATCACTAAAATGTGGAAACAGCCTAGATGTCCTTCAGCTCAGGAATGTATCGGTAAGCTGTGGTATATGTATACCATGAAATATTATTCAGCCATCAGAAATAATGCAAATTTTTATAGCATTTGTACTAACCTGGATGGAGGTGGAACACATTATTCTTAGTGAAGCATCACAGGAATGGAGAAGTAAGAATCCTATGTATTCAACTTTGATATGAAGACAATTAATGACAATTAATGACATGGTGGGGCATGGGGGAAGGGGAGACTAAACAGAGAAGGAGGGAGGGGGTGACAGCAAGGAAAAAAAAGAAAGAAAATAGTTACTAATTATCATATAAATTGTTTTTAATTTTGACCAAAGTACATTACTTAAACATTAATTTTTAATTCAACATGTTAATATGTTGTTTATCATATTGCATCCTCATTTATAAGTGAAATATGTCTGTAATTTCCCCTTTATAATAATATATTTTCTCCAATTTTAATATCAGGTGTATCTGGATTAAGTAGAATGATTTTGAAGTATTTCTTTTTCTATTGTCTATAAGATTTGACATGATCTGTTTTTTTTAAATTATCTTTTACTTTTATTTATAAATATTAGTTGCCTTTTTTTGAGACTTTAGAAAAAACAAAATAATAAGAAGAAGTTAACTGATCATAGAATTCTATACTAGAAATAGACATACTCCAATCTGACAATGTAAATGTTACTTTCTTTGCATTATTACAATTATTATTGCTTAATATTTCGTTGCAGCAATTGTCTGATTTCTTTTCTGAATATATTTATCTTCATTTGTTCTTTATGAGGTTTTGTTCTCAGTCCTTATGTTAAACATTGTTATTGTCATTAAATTTAGCCTTTTTAATTCTGTGAAGGCAAAAGTGGAAACCTAATATACACTTGTGTAAGTAAGAAAAATTAAAAAAAAAAATAAATAAATAAAAGGACTTGTGAGAAAATAGTAAAACATCTGTCATTTGTATCATCAGAATCCCAGAAGGAGATGTGAAGTATGGTGGGTAAAAATATGCATATTTCATGTAATAATTGCTGAAAAATCCACATATCTAGTAAGACAAACTTACAGATTCAAGAAGCAAACTCTAAACAGAGTAAACCTAAAGAAATCCATGCCCTGGCTGAGCAGGGCTACTCACACATGTAATCCCAGCACTTAGGGAGGCGAGGACTGCTTGAAGTCAGTAGCTTGAGACCAGCCTGGGAAACATACTGAGACTTCCTCTCTATAAATAAAGACAAAAATATCCAGGCATGTGATGACATGCACCTGTAGTCCCAGCTACTCAGAAGGCTGAGGCAGGAGAATACATTGCCCTGGGAATTCAAGATTACAGTGGGCTATGATTGGGCCACTGCAATCCAGACAAGTGACAAAGCAATACCCTGTCTCAAAAATTAAAAAAAAAAAACTAAATATACTCTTACCATATCATTCAGGAGTCATACTCCTTGATGTCTACCCAAAGGAGTCAAAAACTTGTGTCCACTTAAATACCTGCATGTGGGTATTTATAGTTGCTTTATTCATAATTGCCAAAACTTGTAAGCAACCAACATGTCTTTTAGTAAGTGAATGGATAAATTAACTGTGGTACAACCAGATAAAGGAGTATTATTCAGCCAAAAAAAAAAAATTGAGCTATTGACCAATAGAAAGACATAGAAGAAACTTAAATGCATATTATAAAGTGGAAAAGGATGCTCTGAAAAGGTTACATACTGTATGAGTCCAACAATATGACATTCTGGAAAAGGCAAAACTATGGAGACAGTAAAAATACCAGTTATTGCCAGGGTTCAGGGAGATGGGATAGATGAATAGACAGAGCATAGAAGATTTTTAGGGCAGTGTAACTTCTCTATATGATACTATAATGGTGGATACACAAACTTATGCATATATCCAAATCCACAGAATGTACAAGCATGAAACCTAATGTAAACTATGAACTTTAGGTAATAATGACCTATTGTAACAAATACACCTCTTGGTGAAGGATGTTGATAATAGGGCAGGCTGTGCACTGTGTGGAGTTAAAAGGCATATGGGATATCTCTGTACCTTTCTCTTAATTTTGTTGCAAACCTAAAAATGCTCTCAAAAAAATCTTTTTAAAAAGAAGATAAAGTTGCCAGGTCCAGATAGTTTCACTGGCAAATTGTGCCAAACATTAAGAAGAAATAATATCAATTCTATACAATCTCTTCAATAAAAAAAATAGAAGAGAGAGACACTTCTCAAATCATTTTACACGATTCACATTACCTTGATACCAAAACCAGAAAAAAGAGACAGTATGGGAAAAGAAAATTATGGCTCTACTTCCCTCATGAACGTAGATGCAAAACTTTCTCCACATTTGGTCTAAATGATCCAAAGCAAAAAAAAAAAAAAAAAGATAAAAAAGAAAGAAAGAAAATTAAAAAATCCTCACTTAAAATTAGCAAATCCAATCCAATCCAATAACGTATATGAAGAATAATATACCATGACCAAGTGAATCTTATCCTGAGAATGCAAAGTTCAATATTCAAAAATCAATCAATTCGATCCACCATATTGGCATACTAATGCAATTGAACCATATAGTCATATCAAATGCAGAAAAAAAATCTGACAAAATTCAACACTAATTCATGATTTTAAAGAAGCATTCAGCAAACCAGGAGTAGAGAAGAACTTTCTTAACCTGCTATAAAGCACCTACCCAACCCCCCTAATCCTTAGATCATACTTAATAGAGTAAAACTAAATGCTTCCTCCCTAAGATCAGGAATGAGGCAAGAATGTCCACTCCAGCTCTTGCTATTCAAAATTGTATCAAAAATCCTAGCCAGTTTAACAAGGCAATAAAAAGAAACAAATGGCTTACAGACTGGGGGGGTGGGGGGGTGGGGGGGGATAAAACAGTCTCAATTTACAGGCAACATGATTGCCTACATAGAAAATCCCATGGAATGTATTTTTAAATTCCTGGTACTAATTGAGTTTAGCAACATTGTAGGATATATATCCAGCATTCCAAAAATCTAGCATATTTCTATATGTTAGCAATGAACAATTCGAAACAAATTGTTTTTAAAAACAATCACAATACTATTTACAATAGTCAAAATCTAACAGAACAACATGTGCAGGATCCATATGCTGAAAACTACAAGAAGCTGATGAAAGAAATAAAAGACCTAAATAAGTGGAAAGACCATGCTGTGTTCATGAATTGACAGACCCAATATAGTTAAGATGTTAGTTGTCCCCAAACTGATCTACAGATTTGATGCAACTCCAGGATTTTTGTTGTGGATACAGACTAATTGATTCTAAAATGTATGTGAAGGAGGAAGATGAGGTTGCAGGTTCGGCAGAGGCATGCTGGGCTCACTTCTGCTGGCTTCTGCTCTTGACTCATTGCTGTTGGCTCTCCCCAAAGAACAAGTAGGTCAAGAAGCTGCACCGCAGCCTTGGCTTTTAACATAAAAACACCCGTAGAGCCAGAGGTGGCAATTCACTGAATTACTGCCATCAGCTGCAACAGTAAAGCCCCTTGATAAGGTGTGTGCTGACTTGATCAGAGGTGCTAAGGAGAAGAATCTCAAAATGAAAGGACCAGTTCGGACGCCTACCAAGACTTTGAGAATCAATACAAGAAAAACTCCTTGTGGTGAAGGTTCTAAGACCTGGAATCACTTTCAGATGAGAATGTGCAAGCAACTCTTAGACCTGCACAGTCCTTCTGAGATTGTTAATCAGATTACCTCCATCAGTATTAGGCCAGGAGTTGAGGTTGAAGTCACCATTGCAGATGCTTAAGTCAAGAGTTTTAATAAATTGATGATCAGTTGCTAAAAATAAAAAAGAAATAAAACATATTGGAAAAGACAAAGGAACTAGAAAAGCCAAAATAATTTTGAAAAATAAGAACATACACACAGAAAAAAAAAAAGAAAAATAAGAACATGATTGGAGGACTAAGGCAGACTTTAATTTTTTTTTTAATTTTTTTTTTTGAGACAGAGCCTCAAGCTGTCCCCCTGGGTAGAGTGCTGTGGCATTACAGCTCACAGCAACCTCCAACTCCTGGGCTCAAGCGAGTCTCCTGCCTCCGCCTCCCAAGTAGCTGGGACCACAGGTGCCCGCCACAACGCCCGGCTATTTTTTGGTTGCAGCCGTCATTGTTGTTTTGGCGGGTCCGGGCTGGGGATTCGAACCCGCCACCTTAGGTGTACATGGCTGGCGCCTTAGCCGGTTGAGCTATAGGCGCCGAGCCGGCAGACTTTAAGAATTACAGTCAACCCTCTATATACAGTCACCTACTATATAATAATTTTTTTTTTTTTTGAGACAGAGTCTCACTATGTCACCCTCGGTTGATTGCCATGGTGTTACAGCTTACAGCAACCTCAAACTCTTGGGCCTAAGCAATTGTCCTGCCTCAGCCTCCCGCATAGCTGGGACCACAGGCGCACACCACAATGCCTGGCCATTTGTTTTTGGTTGCAGTTATCATTGTTGTTAAGCAGGTCTGGGCTGTGTTCAAACCTGCCAACCTCTGTGCATGTGGCCAGCGCCATTAACCACTGTGCTATGGGCACTGGACCTATATGATAATTTTAAAAATAAATTTTTAAATTTTGCCAGTCGATCTGGGCATGGTGGCATGCATGTAATCCCAGCTACTTGGAAGTCTGAGACAAGAGGATCCCTTGGGTCCAAGAGTTTAGGACCAGCCTCGGCAACATAGTGAGACTGTTCCCAGAAACTATTATTTTGCCAACTAAGCAGGTGAGAATCCATATTTTCTATAAAATCATTTTAACACAGGTAATATGTGTGCCTAAACACTAGTTTTGTTTGTTTTTGAGCTGTATGAGGTATAAAAGCAATCTTGTAGTATGACCTCTTTTGTATCTGGCTTCTTTCACTTAACTGTGTGGCTTAGTTTATTCCCTCTCAATACTGAGTGGTATTCCATGGTGTCAACATAGCACAACTCTTGCATTTCCTGTTGATGTATAGTTAGTTTTTTCCCAGTAATTTGCTATTTCAAATAGTTTTACTACATGAACATTCCTGTATCTTTCCTATTTTTACATGCATGGGCAAGAATGCTCACCACAACTAGTTTATGATGGCAAAAAAAAAGTAAATCAAACACTATCTAACCATCCAATAGGAGAATAACTGAATAAACTGTGGCTACAATAAATGATGACATATCATCAAAAACATCGCAGAACCTGCGAGGCACTGTCAGATAAATTACACAAGCTGCAGTGATGATGTCACATGGCTCTAACAATTACATATGGGTTGCAGTAACCCAAAGGGCAGTGAGCTCATTGAGTCATCTCGGGGCTGACTGTGGATAGAAGTGAAGACACTTAGAAAGGAGTTGGTGACACCAGCAGCTGGCTATCCCAGTGCACTACAGAGATGACGTTACCTGGTCCCTGGGACTCTGGTTCTGAGCACAGCCTCAGAGCTTCTCCCACCTAACTGCTTGGAACACTTCCAGACAGTTCTCCCCAATCACCTCTGACCCACTCCTTCTGCTTTTGGGTGAAATCTTTGTCATCACTTCAGGTCCCCTTCATTCATGAGCATCCCTCTCATGTAAGGAGTGTAACTGTGCCCACTAGGCAGGTGACAAGACTGAGGCCCACAGAGGACAGCAGCCGGGCCTGCAGCTGCACAGCAGGTCAGTGGGCCAGGGTTGGATGCTCCGTGTCTCACTCCAGAGCTGTATACCCCCTCCTGCACTATGGGTCCCCTGTCCTGTGGCTCCCCTAGACCACCAGGCCTAGGGTATATACTCACTCTAACTGGGTTCTAGACTGCACTTAGGCCATGGAGGGGACTGGCTGGAGCCAGAGCTGGCAGCCGGCTGGGATCTGACTGGGGGATTGTTGGCCTTTTCCTAAACGCCAGGCTCTGGAGGGGGTGTCCACAGTGTCTTCAAGATCCAGGCCTGTGCTCTCAGCACTGGCTAAGCTGTAGTCTGACCTCCCCAAGATCCAGACTGCTCAGCCAGAGCATGTTGTGGAAAGGAAACCTATAATGCAACCTTTAAGTGAGAAAAAGAAGATTAAAAAAATGAGGACCTAGGGTGGCACCTGTAGCTCAGTCGGCAGGGCCCCAGCCACATACACCAAGGGTGGTGGGTTCGAACCAGGCCTGGGCCAGCTAAAACAACAATGTCAACTGCAACAAAAAAATAGCCTGGCATTGTGACAGGTGCCTGTAGTCCCAGCTACTTGGGATGCTAAGGCAAGAGAATCACTTAAGCCCAAGAGTTTGAGGTTGCTGTGAGCTGTGACATCACTGCACTCTACCCAAGGCAATATAGTGAGATTCTGTCTAAAAAAAAAAAAAAGAAAAAAAAAAGATGAGAACCTAGACATTCCTCCCATGAAGTTAAATGAAGTCCTGGTAGGAGGAAGAAGAGGAGAAGGGTCACCTGAAGAACTGGAACAGCATTGACTAAAACCTAGGCCCTTCAGCAGTCCCGGCCCTTGGCTGTCCACATGCAGGAGGGAGACTCTGAGGGACACCCCTGCCCGGGGCTCATGACCCCAGATGCCAGCGACCTCACCAGGTGTAAATAGAAGGCTCTGTCCTTCTTCTGTCTTCTCTGAGACCTTCAGGTCTTGGAGATGATACGCCCCTACTGGCAAAGGCTAGTATCGCTGCAATGCGGAAATTCCATGGCTGACCTGCACCTGGTGACATCAAGACCTTGCTGGGGGACCACAGGACTTAGCCATAATTCTCTGACTGAAAGGAAGAGGTGACTTTGACTTAGCAGGAAGCTAAGACCAGGTTTGGATCTGATGTCACCCTGGACCACAGGCTCCCAGAAGGGAGGTAGTGTAGAATGTGGGCAGGAGATAGCTGTACTGAAGGCTGAGGACAGAGAGAACAAGGGCCACCATGAGGTTAAGATGCTGAGCCTATTAACAAGGAAGAGGAGGGAAGGGAAGATCTGGAAGGTTCCCACAAAGGACTGTGCTCAAGACTGAGCACTAAGGCCCCTGGAATCTCAGTTTCCTCACCTATAAACTGGTGATAAAAATAAAATTTATATTCGTGGGATTGTTGTGAGAAAAGCATAGCTTCAGGTAAAGTGCTCAGATGGTGTCTGGCACAGAACATGAGGTGAATACTGACAGTATTATTATAATTATAAGAATCACTCTTCATTGATTGACTGTTGGCATGTTGTTCTCCCTCACAGGATAATTGCCTTGCTCTGCTGGCTATTACTGGTGCTGAAGATGGAGGAAGGGGGCACAAGCCAAGGACTGGGTAGCCTTCAGAAGCTGCCAACATGAGACTCAGATCTCCAGAACTGTGAGATAATTTTGTATTGTCTTGAGGCACTAAATTTGTTGTAAAGTTGTTAAATCATCAACAGGAAACTAATTCAATTGGTAAAAAAACATCCTCTCACTCCTTTTCTCCCCCTCAGGCCTCCATTAGGATCAGAAATGTCTAGTCCTGTGGCCTACAATTTGGTGCTGCTGGCATACTGAGGTGGTATTGTCCCCTTGTCAACCTCAGTGATAAGGGAGACTGAGGAGAATACAGGTGCCCTGTAAAGGATGTGTTGGGCCCCCATTATGACAACTCACACTGGAGGGTAGGACAGGGGTCATGGGTAACAGTGATTCTACGAGTTCCATTGAGGTTGGTAATAGTGGACATGCACGCAGTCTTGCTCTGTGCCAGGCACTGCTCTTGGTCACTGAGGCATCTCCTTTCTTCGTCACATAACCCCACAAGGAGGAAAAGCTATTACCCCGATGACAGGTGAGCAAAGGGAGGCACAGAGATCTTAAGTCACTTGCCCACTGTGTGGCACAGGAGAAGTCCGGTCCTTATTACTCAGCCCCTGCTCCAGCCCACCCAGCTGCACTGTCTCGACCACTAGATCCATCAAATACAGGCACAGATGAGGGACACATTATATGTTTTCCCCAGGGGTCACACCTACATGCCTAGTGGACAGTATCTCCCTTTGATGAAGGGGGAACTGAGACTTGGAGAGGACAGATGTTTTGCCCAAAGGTCACACAACCAGAGGCTTAGAAGTTCAAGCTTTTAACTGAGGTCCACCAGGCTCCGAAGCCCATGTGTCCTGGGATGCTGTAGGTGTGAATGAGGCCCAAAGATACATCCCAACATCTAAGGACAAAATGAGGAGGTTCTGCCTATCCCCTGGGAGATGGTTGTCCCTGCTGTATAGCTGGTGTCAGGAGACACGGGATAAACAATTCTTCACAAGATGACCTCTACCAATGGGGCTGAGGGAACCTCTGTAGCCTATGGGCTAGAATATAAGACCCAGAGCCCAAGGAGGTTCTGAAGAAGGGCCAGGAGGCCGAGGGCACCAGGAACCTTGGGGGGTCTAGACAGTCATGCTTCTTCCACTTCTAATTGCACTTGCTTCACTTGTAGATTTCTTCCTGAGAGCGTGCAAAACATAAATGTGCATTTTAGTGAACATCAATAAATTGCACATCCACGAAGAACCACCCAGCTCAAGCAGAGGACCACTTTTAACAACCCAGAAGTCCCTTGGACCCTTCCCAACTACATCTCTTTCTCCCTCCCCCAGAGGCAAAGACAATCCCGGCTCTGTGATACAATCAGCCACTTGGTTTTCTATAAAATGTCACCACTCATGTGGTTAACCTTAGTTTTGCCTGCTTGTGAACACTGTATAAACTGGTGAGTGTGGAATCTTTTGCTTGGCTCTTTGCTTAGAATCATATCTGTGTGATTCATGTCTGTATCGTTTCATGCAGTTG